CCCAAACGTATGTACAAACTGTTTGATCTAATATCTCTTTTTACAAAAAGTCTTCTGCTTACCTTCAGGTACCATTCTGTAGAGCTGGCTTTGACTTAGAATTACAGTATGGAGCGATTCACCGGTAGTTCTTCCTTACTGTAATATTACGGTAGGAACTCGGCAAACGGCTCCACTGCGAGATGGGTCGTTTGTAATTTTTTTTCCAAAAAATCTGGAAAATTGTGTAACAAGGTTTTCACGCATGCTGATTTTACTACACGACAATTTACGAGTTTCCAGAGCTTTCAAATGGTGTATCTATTAGGTTGTCAAGAAAATAATGTCGTTTTTTATTTGCTTGCTTTGACAAAGCAACCAGGCTCAACCCAACAAAGGGTAAGGGATCCTGTTCGATAGAGCAAAGCTAGCTCTACAAGATGGCGTTCATAATATTGCGCCAAGTTCGATCCACGGAGAGTTTGAACTCGAAATATAAAAAATTCCAAATGCCTAAAAAATCGAAAAAATCAGATCTCCGTCCAAATAATTTCTACGGACCTCCCACTCGCATACATCAATACACTCGATATCTGTTATCCATAAATGCAGTTTGTATTTTTTTTTTCTGGAAACAGAGAAAACGAAAACTTTCATGATTTTCTCAAAGCAATGATGAGCCGTTCTTACATGTATAGTTCTATACTACAAGCCTAGGTAAGTATAACTGTGAATTTTCAGCCCATTCCGAGCGGTAGTTTTCGAGAAATATTGGATTCAGCTCTCTTCTTTTCAGTTTCAGTGCTAAAATCGACATTTCTCGAAAACTGCCACACGGAATAGGCTGAAAATCTACAGTTACGTTGACCTAGGCTTGTAGTATAGAATTACATATGCAAGAACGGTTCAGCATTGCTTTGAGAATATCATGAAAATTTTCGTTCTCTCAGTCTCTAATCAGGGAAAAAATACAGCAACTGCACTTATGGGTGTATGATATCGAAAGTATTGACGTGTGGGAGTGGGAGATCCACAGAAATTATTTAGACGGAGATCTGATTTTTTCGATTTTTTGGGCATTTGGAAATCCTTAGATTTTGAGTTCGAAGTTTCCGTGGATCGAACTTGGCGCCATATTACAACGCCTTCTTGTAGAGCTTGCTTTGCTCTATCGAACAGTATCCCTTATCCTTTGTTGGGTTGAGCCTGGTTGCTTTGTCAAAGCAGGCAAATAAAAAACGACATTATTTTCTTGAAGCCTAATAAATGTTTTTGGAATTGGAAGATCGAAAAAATGTTTTCACGGTATATCTGGCAGAACTCATAAAGAAAGTATTTAAAGGCAGTGTCCGGGCAAGAACTCTATTTCTAGAAAATCCACTTACCGGGGGTTATCCGCAACGCTGAATCCGAAAATCCACATTAGAAGGCACGAAATTGGCGAGAACATACGTTTTCCAAGGCCGCACAATTTGAAATCTGACGGTCCCCACCGCGGCAGAGACGCATAGTCGGTGCGGGACCTAACATTTTAACTGTGGCGGCATGCGTACTCTGCCGCATAGCAGCAATTCGGACAGCTCGGAGGACCCGCCCCAAGGCGTAGGTTTCCCCACTTTCCGGTCGTTTTTCTTGCTTTAGGCCCTGGGCAGAGCTCATGCGGCGAAGTCGCGCGATCTCCAGTCGCGACGACATGCACGAAAGTGGCGACTGGGACGCGACGACTGAGTCGCTCAGTCGCCGGAGGCGTGCATACCTCCGACGCGATTTCATGCAATTGCACAACACTTCACACATTGCACGTACTCTTATACATTACTGAAAATCAGTGCTCTCGTTGATTTTACTACATCTGTCATTCAATAAAAAGGTGTAACAGCAGAAGAAGAAAGTTTGAAAGTTTATCACATAGCATCCGACTTGACAATAAACACAACGTCGTGCATCCAAATGATCAGAATACAAGGAGAAGTCAACGACATCGTGGTTCTGGAAGGAATGGCTCATAATCAAATGACTGTTGGGAAGCATCGATTAGGAATAGGAAACAAGTAGCAAGGCCACCAGTGGCTGCGGACATTCCGAAAGAATCGTCATGAGGCAAAACGATGTTTTCAGCTCTAGAAACGTCACCCATGTGCTGCACATGATAGACGAAAATACTGCTATTATCTCATGCAAAGCTCATATCTCGGAGTTTGCTGCATAGCATCGTCAACGTAGACTGTGAGCACATCGTATTCGATGCGCAACCGAACAGGGTAGGGCTTGTAATGGGTCTTTTTGGCAACCTACGATATATGAGATGTAGGAAAATGTAGATGAAAGACAAAATGCAAAATGAGGACTGACTCCTTCCAAACAATGCAAAGGTAGGCATAAATTGGCATTTGCAACATTTCATGCAAAAACACTCATAATAAAAAGACAAACCAGCAACATACAACAATAACATCGAAAATCCACTTCAGGATCGGCGCGACGGTCGCCCCTTCGCTCGCCGCAAACGAGCGACGCGACATCGCGCCGATTCGGCAAAATCGCGACGATATCGCCAGGTGAGCTATGAACGCCGAAAGGCGCCATCTATTCCTACCGGGCTGGCTGCGCGAGCGGTTCGCGTGCGGCAGCCGTGATTGGCGCAGGGGCGCGCATTGTTGCATGTGCGTCACAGCATCTTCGAGTGCTGTTGATCGGGGCGCGTGCGGATAAAAAGTTACTGGAAAGTAAGTAAAAGTTGAGAACTCACTGCGGAGTGCAGTGCGCCTGTAAGTAAACATGTACATGTAAACTACATATCTATTTGCCTTGGGGTGCTATGACTAACTGTTCGCAGAAGTTCTATGTTAGCAAAGTATATCGTTTTTTTTTTCTTTCTTTACGGTTATTGTTGTGGAAACTCCTTTCTCCCCGAGCTTGTCAAGTCTAGTACAACTCGATCATTCCCTTTTAATGAAGAACTCGCATTCTCGATGTTCTCCCATCACAAAGCTAAGTCTGGTCTCATTGGTCTCTTGACTTAGATACATATATGTACAACTCGTTGCAATATGCAATGACTTTTCCTAATCTCTGTCGCTGATATTCAAAGGTCAAACTGCGTGAGAAATACTTGAAATTGACGGTTTGCAATAGATCGGTTGCTTCAGTTGCAATAGATCCAGAACTCTGTTACTACTGGCCGCTTTTCTGATAACAAAAGGAGAAGAGTTGAGATTCTTAAAGATGGGAAGTTCATCAGATATTAACTACTTGAGTTGTAATGCGATGTGTGCAAACACTTCACTAAATGAATGGATTGTAAAGTTCTGGGCAAGAACGTGATATCTTCGGAGTGAAGGAGCTTATGCGAAGAACCATTAGATGACTGGTTGTTTGATGCTGGTATGTTTTGTAGCAATGCCAATACACCTAAATTACTTTTATAATATACTTGTTTAGATATCTAGCATTAGACAACGCATGGAGATCTTAACCCGCTCATAAGTCAAAACCTTTTACGATGTAAATGTAACGAGAATTCAACAGGAGGGGAACGCCAAGTCCACGTCGCTAAGTCCAAATATAGCATGCATATTGCGAATGAATCATGCTTTACGATCGGATGTGTAGGCAGGTACTTCTTCATCTCCTTCAACCACCATGATAAGGTCGAATATGATTTTGAACATCCTCAACTCGTTGAAGTTACACAGCGTTAGGGAAAGTTAGCTTAAACTTCAAGAGATCGTGGTCGGTACAGAAAAGACATTCAAAACCTTCTTTAGTCTCTATTTACAAAAAGCAATCATCAGAAAAGGAATAAGCTACTCAGGTCTTGCAAGGAGTTGTCTGATACCACCGTCATAAAGTCAAGTAGCGTACACCAATGGAACGAAACCGATGTCTTCATCAACATTTCATTTGCTCACTCTACAATGAATAAAAAGCGCCAAAGTCTTCAGTGCCAATTTGATGCCATGAAAACTAATGTCCTCGGTGACAGTTTGATGCCATGAAGACCAAGTCCAAGAGGGAATGCGCGCTCTTACGCCAATCACGGCTGCCGCACGCGAACCGCTCGCGCAGCCAGCCCGGTAGGAATAGATGGCGTCACGCCGAAAAGTGTGGCGCGATCCGTTGCGCCGCGCAGCCGTCACAAACGCGTCGGGACCCACACACTAGACAGCGTGGCGTGGAACACTTGTCCAAAATGATCGGGCGCGACGCGACGAAATCGCATGAGCTCTGCCCAGGGCCTTATGACATCGCACATGCGCGATGTTGTGTCTGAAGGGGGGGGGGGGGTGCACTCTCGCATGGCAGTGAAATCCCAAAATCCCTATCTCGCCCGGACACTGCCATTAAGTGAAGTGGTGCGAGTTTGACATTTGGAATTAGCGATGCTTGTTAACACAGTATAGCGACTTTCAGCCTCTCTGGTTCTTTTTAGGGGTGAAATATGGCTCTTAATGACTCAAAGAATGACTCAAAACCCTCCTCAAAATTTTTACCGTAATCCTACGGTGGTGAGCAGCGATCGGTGACTCGCTCCATACTGCAGATCTAAGTTGAAGCCAGCACTAAAAAGGATAATCTTAGAAGCAGAGATATTAGCGATCAAACAGTACATACTTTTGGGACACCCGAGATTCTTGTATATCTCATGCAAGCCGAGCGCTATGGATTTTTACAGTCTTTCCAAAAGTGTGCTAGAGGCAGTTGGGTTTCAGTGCAAAGATGAACGGCGTCCTATCACTATCACGATCAATTACTGATATTCGTCTCTTACCCCCGATAGCGAAAATATAGCGAAAAATCTGTTTGAGTGGTGTTTATCCGTGTTTGTCCGGGCAGTTCTCGTCATAATCGATTTTTGCAAACAACGCACCTTTTCAGTGGAGTTTTGATTATTTAGGTCCTTATACAGTCGAGTAGATTTTCCGCTTAATATAGTGTGCTTGCCCTGGAGGTGAAATGCGGCAAAATTTGCGTGTGAACAACTAGCTGCGCCTGTGACGCCGGTCAATTGCGCGCGCAAAAGGCTGGCAAGCGTGGTCACTTGTTCACGCGTAAATCCTTCCATTTCACCTTCAGCGCAAGCACACTATATTAAGCGGAAAATCTACTCGGCTGTTGCTATGTCATGTCGATTTCTCATAGGTTTAAATCGTAGGCTAGCCAGAATAGGAGACTTTTTCATAGACTATGGAGGATGCCTTTTCTTGGTGAGTGTTTTAAGTTGTTTGATCGTACTTCTTTTGTCCAAATGTCTCGGTAAAAATTTCATCACTGAAGTAAAGCGAGGTTTGGTCACTATAAAAATAGCTACAGGTATTCTTATAGGTTTTTATGATAATGGCTGTTTACTATGTTGGCATTACTATCTCATGTGCTAGCTTCAGATCTTCTGAGCACTGTCATATGGTCTCGAAAATAGGAGTCCTAATCATAGTTGAGATTGTCATCAATCTCATCTTCTTTCAGTATTACTCTCGGTGAGTTGTGAGTTTATCGATGTTTTGTGAATTACGGATCCCTAAAAAATTATATCGAAATTAGTCAGTTTTGTCTGTGATCAAGTATAATGTATATAGTCTTGATGGGCATCAACCTTCAAACTTGTTCGTTGATGCAGAGAATTGAGCTTCCTTCATTACAGCGCGCATGTTTTTTGATAGTTTCTTGTAACAATTGCAGCGCCTACTTTTTCTACATATTCATTCACTCTCTGAAATATGAGTACGCTTAATGAGTGAGTTTTAACGTGTCCTGGTTGCTTTACTATGAGATCCGCAAAAGTGCCCGAGCTGTTGTACATCGCGACTTCGAACCTGTCCTTTCACGAATTCCCAGTTATAGTTTACCAGATTTCTTCAAAATTCACAAATTTTGTCAATCAAACATACGCAAAGCATGCTTGTTCTCTTAGTCAGAGAACGAATGATATTGCCTTTGATGTTGCTTTAGCACAACAAATTTCGAACAACTTTGAGCCGTTATACTACTTAATTGGCATGCATGCTGTTCTGCTATTCATTGCTTATAGTAGTAGACCAGGATGCCGGAGAGCCTTCTAAAAGCTTACAATGCTTGCTTTCAAAACCCTAGGCTAATTTTTTCAGTCAAGTTTTAATCGACATCTCCCAAAAGATGGTGAGGCTTCTGTTATTCATTTCCTTTCAACACCTAATAATATACGAAAAGGTTCGGCCAGAGTAATCTACCACATCTGAATGCGACATGTCGGTCATGAAAACCTTGATTATTCTTCAAAAGACTAATTCTAGGGAGTAAAATGCAGTTTTAACAGAAACAGATAAATTAGACTCCCTGAGAAGAGACCATATCAGTTGCTTCGCTTGAATATTCTGCGCTACTTGTATACGTTTTCTTTTACTGTAGGCATAACTGTGTTACTCACTGGCAACGGCAGTCTTGTGTGGCTGGATTATTCAGAAGTCTTCCAACAGGTACGAACATGTTTATGTTTTGGAATCTCCCTATGGGTCCATGCTCAGATGAGTTGACTCTCGCAGCAGAAGAAGAAGGCGAGTACGACCCAACCTATCTTTCAAGGTTCTGTAGCGTATGCAATCGCGAGGCGCCGATCAGGTAGACTTTGATTTCCATCAGAATTGCCTCTGATTTACTTCATGGTATCTGTTCATCGATGTACATGTTAATGCATGTATTTGTCAACCCCAATTTTTTAGAAGTCATCACTGTCCGATCTGCAAAATTTGTGTTCTGCGGAAGGATCACCATTGTTTCATAACTGGTGCATGCGTTGGACTAGGAAATCAAGTATGTTGTCTCATTTGAGAATCAGAAGAAATGATGACGATCCGTTAACGTCGAAATGGTTGATGGAACCTAGCAACGTTTGTGTCCGTTTAGTCAAAGCTGTGTAGTATCTCATAAGGCATATGTTGTCGAAACACTTGGTGAGAAAGACTTAGTGATTTCCAGGTGTCGAATACCTTTCAAGTATGACTTTGCTGTTCATTTTGCCAAAACTATGTTATTCATGTTAAATTGTTGGTCAAAGCGAGTCAGGCCTTTAGTATGTTAAGAGAAGGGGGATAATCTTCATACACGCCATCTGAGTTGCGAAAAGAAGTGTGCGCGAATATGGAGTTCATTGGGTGAATCATCGTGAATTTTTACAAAGTTGCTTAAGCACTTTCATTTTGCTTTGTGTTTGTTGTCTATACAAGCCTAGATGATATTGGTGATCGCTGGTGAGTTAGTCTTTGACTTGGCTGGTTCCTTTTGAAAGCGGAGCGTTTACTTTCGATAGTTTTTTCGATTCAGTGGAGCTTTGTAGTGAATAAGCAATCTAGTGAAAAGCTTCAACTCTTTTGTACTTTGAGAAACGGTTGTCGATTTGTAGCTTGGAATCTCAAAAAACTAACATCGTTACAATGAAGACCTGCATTGGGTGGCGCTTCGTAGTAAATCAGGAAGGCTCAATGTATGTCAGATGTTAGTGTCAGATGCAAAATATATTAACTTGTTGTAGCGTTATTTTATCATATTTCTATTCTGGTCTTGTATGGGTTTATTACTTGGAGCGCGGTACACCGCTGTTTATCTATACGAAACCTCTTCAGCTGGGTGAGCGCAGTCCTTTTAGTGTTGAATGTAGCAAAATCGATGCAATCATCATTTTTCGTTTCTAGCTTTCCTCTTGGATTTCTGTACTGTGTTGGTCCGATAGCTGTTGTTCGATGGATTGTCGGATACAGCACGTTTTTGCACGCTTTCATATGCACTATATTCTCCTTCATTCTTGCGAGCTTCGTAGCGGCTTCGGGATTTTTTGGACTCCAGGCTAGCTTTTGTTGCTTGCCAGAATAGTCCTCATGTTCTATTTTAGATTTATTATACTTGCTATGGTTATACCATGTACGAGTATCACAGCAGTGTACGTGACGCGTTCGATGGTGACGGGTACGCATTTACTCCCTCTTTACCATGCCATTGAGAAAATCAGTTACAATTTCAGCGCTAACATCGGAGAAAGATTTCGTCTTATTTTTGGCCGCTACTGGTTACTTAACTTCTTTTTCCCTCAATTATGGTACGCTCAGATCTTAACCACCCAGATTGCGACCAATTTGTTTCGCGTGAGGAGCAAACAGCTTTAGCTGTCTATATACTAACAGTTACTCCATCGTTCTGCCATTACTTTCTGATCTCGCATCATGACTCTGATATACGTGTCACTATAACGCTTTTTGTTTGTGCGGGTATTGTTCTTAGTGCAATAATGGATCTACTTCCTCGTCCGAATTCGCTGAGAGTTCTTGTTATTCATGGTACAAATGTCTCCGCATTATGTGACTTCATGCAGCCTGCATAAAATATTTTTTACGGTCTTTCGAAAAATTGTCGGGGAATACATTCGTGAAAAGTACTTCAGTGTGCTCCAAAGGGCCATCAGATAAATCTAGTGCAGAAGAACTGTAAGTCCAGAAAATGTTTCCTCAATTACAGTAGTGCTCAAACTCATCCCCGTTGTGGAGGTGATCTTCCCTTTGTAATCAATCCATTGCTGAAGGTGAAGTTCAGGGTGCCCCCCCCCCCCCCAAGAGTGGGTTGTAACATTTTCGAACTTCTTTCTGCTAAACAACTGAAGCGACTTTTCCAATTCACTTCGAATTCAAACTCTTTCTAAAATATTCTTGATGGGGCCGCAAAAACCAGAGAGTCCAAAATTTTCAAAAGTACGTGGCACCTCTATTCGGGACAATATTTTTCCGCCAGAAAACTTCTCGGACCCTCATTTTTGTTTTCGCTCCCTAGAAGAATTTCCTATCCAATCCACGGCAAGAGCTTAGACTTCGATCAAGGATAACAACATTAATCGTATGGGCGTGAACAGTTGAACGGGAACTGCTGATTTAAATTTGCAGACTCAAGTGTACAGAATTTCTTTTACAAACGAACACACTAGGAAACAAAGGGGAGCTCGACGTTCACTCTTCCGAAATCAAAGAGAACTTCTGAATTGTTGATGCTGTCGAAAAATGTTGTTTCAAAAAAATGCAACTTATACACCAGAGGCCTCCAAAGAGAGTTCCTTCTCGTACTCTGCAGGTAATCTGCAACAACTATAACGATAACGGAAGAACGTTGTCCTTGCGTGCGGAAACCACACACTCAGACTGAAAGAACTGCTACAATAGCATGGCTTAGCAGTAGTCTACGAACGAATGGAAATAATCTATCGTATCTATTCGAATCAAAATTGTGTATGATTCATACATAGAAAGCAAACTGCTATGTTTCAAGCCCAAAAAACAAACATTGGCACCACGAAGCGCGTTTACTGTGTTGTGTGAGATCTTGCTGTTCTTCCGCACAGAAGCTTACCGATTTACGGAGTAGAATCAAGCGTTGCGCTCCCATGAGTACGAACACAGTCGTGATCGTAACTGCACGAGATGCTGACGGACTGTTTCGTAATTTTAGTCGACGTCACAATCGGCAATGATGAAATCGTCTCCGACCAATGGCGAACGCGATCGGGGAGGCGTCAATCGCGTCGCGTGCGCGTCGCGGTTCATCTCGAGGCATTCTGCGGCCTCGGTTGCGCTATCTCCTCTGTAGGACTACAGCTCTGCTGAACGTGCGGTAATCCTCGTCCAGCTTTCATCCCTTGTTGGGATTTTTTTGTTGTCTTGCACCATCAGAATGGAAGGCAAGCAATAAGCACGGCCTGCTTGGGGCCGTGATCGCCATCTCCAGCATCTTGGGTTCTCCTTGTGCTCAACGACCGTCGTAGTGTTGATTACTGCTGGTGAGTTGCATTTCTGTTCAGTAAACTGATTTTATCTCTCGGAACATTGAATTGATATAAGCAGCATTTGGTTTCGTCAGAAGCATTGTGAAATAGTCAGCAAACATGCGCTGATGAAATCGCGTTCAAAGTTGAAATTTCGCAACGTGCACAATGTTGAGGGCATCGACATGTATTATAGTGGGGGCTTCATTCCATGCTTGTCCATATTTGCGGTTAGATTTGAGGCTAGCATGGATTCCTTCTACAGCACTGTGCAGATACTTCTTTGTGTCATCGGAACATTGAGGAGATGCTTTTGGGGAGGCTTGAGTTTTTGTTTTTTCTTTATCTTCGGTTTCACTCTTTTTTGCTGCCATGGGTCTCTTCCTCGCTCCTATCATATGAAAACGCCTTTTTATCTTATTCTTTATTTTGAAAGCTATCCAGAGTGTCGTTGGCGAAAGTGTAGTGAGTTGTGCGATTGGTTCTGATTTGGGAGCACGAAAAGTGGCTTGATCATGTTCCGAAAGTAGTCTGTATAGCCATATACATTCTCGATGTGACCAAGGAAAGATCAAGCTGGATTATTGTTTTTTTTTTTGTGTGTATGTGGCACCAGATGGAGAAATTCAAAAAAGTCAACGATAGTATACATGTTGAATTGTGGATTATACCACTCATGCTTTTGACTATCAGGTTCAGTTTGATATATCAACTCATTTTTAGAAACATCTGTAAAGCAATGCTAGGCCGACCTGTTTCGCCTCTTGCCTCCGCAACTGCTACAAATGCTGTGAGGTTAACTAGTCGGCCTTCTCTTTCACGAAAGAGAGCTGCTGCCAGCAATCTCCCCCTAATTGAGGTATGTTCTCATTCTATTTGACAGTTCGATTGCTAAAGTCTATTCTTTATGGAAAAAAAAGCATGGAAGAAAAAAAAACGTTTACAGATGTCCACCCGTGTTCGTGAACGATCTTCCTCATCACTATCATTGCTTTCTGATGTTTCTCAGGAATCTTCAGATGAGTTGAAACGCCAGCGCTATGGAAGTGCAACCTTCACAGATGATTCCTATAACTCCCCACTTTCGGTAAGTATCTCACTTACAGTTGTTCTTGGTGAAAGATCCATTTTAGACGGGTTCGGATTTTTCATCTAGCGAATTCCTCAGTTCTTCTTGCGGTAGCGGCTGTCGTGGTCGTTTACTAGTTGGGGGAAAGAAGCGCGAAAAAATTGTACCACTGGTTAGTGCCATTTTTATGGTCAGTTCAGCTTCCCATTATCTGTGCATTGTCTGTAGGTCAACAACTCAGTAATCAGCGACTATCGAATCGTTGGCGCTGGGAAGGACTCGAGAGCTGTGCATCTTCCAACTAACAAAGTCGTCAATTGTCAGGTTTGTAGCTGTTTATTAATTTCCCATAAGCGTGTTTGCTAGCGCACTATTCAATCATCGTTTGGATGAATTGTAATAATTTTGTGTAGTTTAGGTTTTGACATCTCAAGAAGCTCATGTAGTTTCTCAACTCATAGCTCGCCTCGACGAAGCTGAAAAGTACTACAAAGGTCCGGATGTCAACGAGCTAAGGTGTGTTTATTGCATATGATTTTTTCGCACTTGGCACGGTTGTTCTCATGTTAAGGGAATTGGTAATGCCGTCAGACTGTGAAGTAATCGAGGAAATTAGTGGACGTGTCGTTATGTTTGTACCATTACATGATTGTTCCCTTTATGCTTATGCTCAAAAGAAAGGTTTTCACATGACCGAAGCTGATGTGGAGCCGATTTTCAAACAGGTACGTTGTGGGGATTGTGGGGTCTTCCGCTTTTGATGAGGCCAACTTTGTTATGGCAGTTGGCATTGCAAATGCACGTACACAAGTGAATGTTTCGTTGATATATCTCCTTTGCAGATCGTGCGCATCTTGGCGTTCTGTCACTCTTTGGGAATAATTGTTCGCAATTTGAAGCCTCGCAAGCTCGTGTTCGATCAGCAGAATCGGATACGTCTTGAAAATGTTTTGGATTGCATAGTCTGTGATGACCCCTCAGATGATCGCATGGTAGATAAGTACTGTACCCCCGCGTTTGCGGCTCCAGAGGTATATACCGTTTGTCAAGTCAATGCAGAAATGTTCCATGCAAAGTTCATTCAGGTAGTAAATCGCGCTCCAAATTTTTCGGGGAAGGCCTGTGATGTGTGGAGCCTTGGAATTCTGTTGTATCTTTTGTTGCTCGGTCGCTATCCATTCTATGATGAGACTCCTGCGGGTGTATTCTCAAAAATACGTGTGGCAAAAGTAGTCTTGCCTCCTGATGTGCATTTGAGCGCTGGCGGTGAGTTTTGCAAGTTCGATTGTTTCGCCAAGTATAAATCTTCAGCTCGTGCTTTGATATTCGGTTTGCTTCGGCGTGACCCCGAGGAGCGTCCAACTACAGCCGAATTGCGCTATATACCTTGGATCTGCCCACCGAAAGTGCCTTGTAGGAGAAGAACCACTGATCCTAGAATCAGTCCGGCGCTGCACATGCGTATTGCATTGGCGGTACGTTTTGCATCATTCTTCTTATAAACTATTTTCCACTTCTGTCATGCAAAATAGCAAAAGAAATTGCGCACTATGAATGCATCTTTTTGCCCTCTCTTGTATATCTTAGGCTGTTCTATATGATCCCGAAGTTTGGGAACAGTTCCAGCACAACGTTCAGTGCGAGCGCTGTGCTGGGACTGTTCCCGAACTTCGGGATCAGTATGAAAGCAGCCTTAAAGGCAGTGGATCGGCAAAACTCAACAACTTAGGATTTTTACGCGGTAGGTTCCTTATCGCCCAAATATGAAAACAGTGCAATCCCGGTTGCACAGTCTGCCTTCCCTGCCGAGAAAATTGCTCTCAAACTTACACGCGCAGGTCAATCGTACACGCGTCCGGACAAGTTCGCAATTTCCATCTTACCATTGGAGGCCGCCCGCCGCAATGATATAGCCATTGGGTCCTGCAACGATTCAGCTTCATTAGCCTTGCTCCAATAGTCCAATTCTAAAAGGAAAGGCATTGAAAAATGCTCGTTTTCGCAGTTTTCAAGCTTTCAAAAGTAGATTTTCGGGATCAGCGTATCAAATAACCTCAGGTAAGCGAGAATTTGACTAGGTTGAGATTTGCCGAGTTACTGCCTTTAAGAATCTTGGACGTGAGCTAGCTGACATCGGCAACTCTTAGGAGACTTTTGCACACAGCAGAGTTTCGGTATACTAGGAGGAATGGAAGCTGGTTGTGAAAAAACTGTTTTTTTTTGGTTAAACGAGTGATGCTATCTTTTTGACGTGAAAGTGATTGTTGGAACACAACTTCATGTCCATTCGATCGTTTAGGGATGAAACACTTCATTCCTGTTTTCACCTTCTACCAAGTTTTGATTCCTTTTCAACGGACGAAGTGCTTGTCATGACCATTGAATGCTGCCTGACTTCTTTGTAAAATGATTTCGTGTGTTTACAGTCGATTTCATCCCGGATTAGGCGGAACATTCCACGAGGAGCGCTAGAGGCTTGGCGAGCGCATAGCGGTGGCATTTTGCCAAGCAAAGACTGAGCAGAATGAAAAGACGCAGACCTCGGCTCTCAGCACGATAGGTCATACTGTAGCTGCGAAACGGCGCGAGCTGTTGCGAGGCGGACGTCCGGCAATCCAATTTTTGCCTAAGGCCTAAGGTATACCTCGCGCGATTCGGCCGAATCGCCACTTTCACGCGAATTGGCGATTTGCCAGATTTCTGCAAATTTATCATGCGCACTTCTCGGACGCATATTTGGGTAACTTATGTAAGTTGTTGCAAACAAAGCAAGTCCTGACCAAAGGCAGCGCATTAACGACGAATTACGAAGAGTCGCTGTTGTGCCAAATCGCGCAGCGACCGGAATCGCGTGGATTATGCCTTAGGCCTAAAGCGGGTCGAAATTTACTGTATATGTAATCCAAGAAATGTGCCGTTTTTAACGAAGTAAAGGGGGGGGGGGGGGTTGGGACTAAAAGAAGACTATATTTCTTTTTTATTTTACCCTACTCATCGAAGGCTTTTGTTAACTTACGTTACGTTTATCTCAAACACATGATCCCTCAAATTTGTTTTCTTGTTATAGCCTTCATAGAAGTTGATGTAAAACGTGGTACTGCAGTGTAGGTGCTAAAAATATAACGCTATACAAAATTGTTCACGTACAAAGTGTTTATTTGTTTGAGAAGTGTACCTTGCGAAGTTTCCATCTTGCAATAGGCATTCTTTTTACATTATATGGAGAACTAGCTGGCTTGCCCGGCTCCGCCGGGCCTGCCAGCTAGACCCGTGTACGTATGTTCCGAATAGAAATTTTTATCTCTGAACCGATTGGGACCGAACTTTGCACACATACACTTCGGGGCAGGGAGCGTGTCACAGCCCACTTTTCGTTATCGATCGATGTCGATTTTACCGATTTTTTGCAAAATTTGAGCTAGGGGGCTAGGATTTTGCACAGGGGGGTAATCGAGCATGCTGATCACCCCTTCGGGGTGATCAGCATGCTCGATTACCCCCCTCTGCCAAATCCCAGCCCTTTAGCTCGAATTTTGCAAAAAATCAATAAAATCGATATCGATCGATAACGAAAAGTAGCCTATGACACGCTCCCTGCCCTGAAGTATATGTGTGCCAAGTTTGGTCCCGATCGGTTCAGAAATAAAAATTTGTATTCGGAACATACGTACATACATACAGACAGACATACAGACAGACAGACAAACAGACATTCAGCTTTATCTTATATATAAAGCTGAATGTCTGTTTGTATGTATGTATGTATGTCTGTCTGTATGTATGTATGTGTGTACGTATGTTCCGAATAGAAAATTCCATTTCTGAACCGATCCGGACCAAACTTGGCACACATACACTACGGGCCCCGGCGGGTGTCATAGGCTACTTTTCGTCATCGATCGATATCGATTTTATCGATTTTTATCGATTTTTTTGCTGAGTTCACCTACGGGGCTGGGAGTTGGCACAGGGGGGTAATCGAGCATGGGGATTCCGAATACAATATTGGTTTTCAGGATTATCGATTACTTTTATCGATTTTATCGATTTTTTTGCAAAGTTTGAGCTACGGGGCTGGGAGTTGGCACAGGGGGGTAATCGAGCATGGGGATTCCGAATACAATATTGGTTTTCAGGATTATCGATTACTTTTATCGATTTTATCGATTTTTTTTGCAAAGTTTGAGCTACGAGGCTGGGAGTTCGCACAGGGGGGTAATCGAGCATGGGGATTCCGAATACAATATTGGTTTTCGGGATTATCGATTACTTTTATCGATTTTATCGATTTTTTGCAAAGTTGGAGCTAGGGGGCTGGGAGTTGGCACAGGGGGGTATTCGAGCATGCTGATCATCCCCAAGGGGGGTGATCAGCATGCTCGATTACACCCCTGTGCCAAATTCCAGCCCCCTAGCTCAAATTTTCAAAAAATCGATAAAATCGATAAAAGTAATGGACGATCTTGAAAACTAATATTGTATTCGTAATCTGCATGCTCGATTACCCCCTGTGCAAACTCCCAGCCCCGCAGGTCAAACTTTACAAAAAAATCGATAAAATCGATAAAAGTAATGGACGATCCTGAAAACTAATATTGTGTTCGTAATCAGCATGCTCGATTACCCCCCTGTGCAAAATCTCAGCCTCGCATGTCAAAATTTACAAAAAATCGAGAAAATCAATAAAAGTAACCGATAATTCTGAAAACTAATATTGTATTCGGAATTCCCATGCTCACTTCCCCCCTGTGCCAACTCCTAGCCCTGTAGGTGAACTCTGCGAAAAAATCGATAAAAATCGGTAAAATCGACATCGATCGATAACGAAAAGTGGACTGTGACACCCGCCGGGGCCCGAAGTGTATGTGTGCCAAGTTTGGTCCGGATACGGCGGAGCCGGGTAAGCCAGCTAGTATATATATAAGATATGTATGCAATGGATTATTTTACTAAAAAATGGCACCGCTTGAGGCTTTGATAGATTTCGAAATCTTCACGGTACAGTGCTAGTCTTGTTTGAAGATATACCGGGCTTGTTTTTGGGCATGTGTGGTTTCAAATGCTGGAGCATAGTTGTTGATTTGCGAACTCGATGTAACTTTAAGATCTTAGCAGCACTTTCATTCTTCGTCATATTTCTTGTCATCGATTATTGCTTAGCAGCACTTGAACATCACCATAGCAGAGATGAAATTTTTCCAGTTAAGGACTGGGTTTCGAACAGTTAGAATCTTCCCTTGTACTCTATTGCAATTTACGCCTTGAAACGAATATCCCAATTTTCCAACATTACTATGTTGTGATTTGGTACTGAGACAGCTTGGGGAGCTATTGATTTTTTGCGATACACTTGTCAGAAATTTGTGTTGCATAGAGAAATGCGAAGGAAGTAGCGGTTGCAAAGCCATGAAAGACAGAAGTTTGCTGTTGCGCTGGTAATGCAGACATCTGTATTTGGTGGAATTTGTCCTTGCGCGAAGTCCGAATACTTGATATTTTTTCGTAGATATCGTTACTCAAGAGACGTATAATATCATGGGTGTATTTTCAGCAAAATCTGCTTGAAGAGATGACCGAACCCTTTGTACGAGGCCCTTGCTATCCTCCTCGTTCTCGATCTTTGGGTCGTACTAGTGCATTAGCCGTACCATCATCAACTTCATCATCGTCGTCATCATCCTCAGCGTCATCCTCCTCTATATCAGCATCCTCAGCATCGTCTTTTGCGCTGGCATCCCCAACATCAAGGTCTGTTTCGTCTTCTTCTGTGTTGAATGCATTTGGTGAAACAGTTGTTCAACGATCATTGGATTCTTTGATATATGCGCGCCCGTTGAGTCAGTCATAGATTTGGGTTAGTGCTTACCGTCAACGATTTCGACGGTTCGGCATTGCTCAAATAAGGTTAAAGCCTTTCTTTTTGATTTGTTAGTATCCTTCATATCGCTCGTACTTTCTTGAAGTTTGTAACATACGTTTCATATTATCCATTTGATTGTTTCTCTAGACGCAACGAGTGCTCTTGTAGTGTTCCTATATCCTTGCTTGTGAATCTGTGAGTTCTGTTCGAACATAATTTCTCCATACACAACATGAACATAGGCCTTTGCTCTTTGTTTAGCCTCCAATCATTTCTACTGTCTTGGGCTTATTTATTACCTTTAAACGCTGTATCTCTCAGATCGGCTTCTGTGAGTCTGAATGTTGAAGTTCTTCTCTGTCGTGGTATTACTTGACTCCTTGAAGAATGCTGAATTTTTCATGGGGTATAATATGGGAATTGTAGCTGTTGTTTTGTCTCGATACAGCTTTCTTTGTAAATAAGTTCATGAGATGAAGACCCCTCAAGTCTGCTTTGGACCTATGGAGTTTGTGACTTTCCCTGTTGTGCGTCTTCCAGGGCTTAACTAACATTATTGTTTTCTGTTCAAATGTGATAGTGTTACTTTTGTTCTTGTCGAGTTTTTTTTGTGACATCTTGCTTCTTGAATACTTCAGAATATGAGGAGCAATCTTAGTGCGCTAGCTTCCTATATTTCTTCACCCTTCGATTTTCATTACTGTTTTGCATCAATGTTCTTTCTATTAGGTATTTGATTCGTTGTACATAAAAATGTTTTGTAAAGTGGATCTTATATGAAATCATGTTATCAAGGTTTTCAGTGATTTTCAGTGCAAGCGGAGTTTTTACCGTGCATTGTTCATATTCTTCTCAAGTGCATCTCAGGCACATGCATTAGTTTAACAACGTTTGTATTTTACGATAGTGTATGTTGGGTGTTGGTAGGCATTTTCATTTTATCATTATTCCGCCATGTGCAAAAGATAAGCGTTTTGCTGAGCAGGTCTTAGAGGCCTTTGTCACAGAATAAAGGCAGTGGCTTGGCAGATGAAGTAGACTGCATCTTCCCTTAATTGATCAATCTTTATGAAGGACGCTGTCCAACATCCATTCGTTAGATAGGCGACGGACTTAGCTGATTAGCAGCTTCAGCAGGATGCGGCACGATTACTGTTATGTGGTATCATGTTAGAGGAAAACCGGTGGCATCTACGACTCCCTGCAACAAAATTTTTACATTGGTAAGACCTGTTTATGTTGCTCTCAATCTGCGAGGTTTATCATCTCCTCGAAACTACTGCCGTTGCGAACAGTCGCAGATACCACTTCGATTTCCGTCTAACATGACGCCAAATGACCTTAATTGCGACGCGTCTTGCCGAAGCAGCCATTCGGTTAGTCAGGAAAAAACGGCTCGACTTGTTTGTGGTTATAGGGCAAAACGTTCCCTTTAGAACGTCTTTTCAACCGATTCCAATTTTTCCTTGGCAAAGTCGAGATAGGAAGGCGAAGAGGTCTCTTTGCCAAGTTGAAACAGTAAGGTAATTCATTGACCGCAGCTGCCCACTGCGAGGTATAGGAACCATCAACTTCACATCGCAAAAAGCGCTGTGGTCCGATGCAGAAATCGGATAATGACCTGGTCATGAATGCTCAGAACGACAAATGTATAGGTCATTCAAAAAATAGTGACGACGGACTCGACTGTGGTCTTTGCTCCAACAGGAGCAGAACACATACGAAAAGGCATCATACTCTTAGCTCATTCACTTTTAGTGTCTAATTACTATCATATGCGAGCAGAAAAAGCACTTGAGGAGATGAAAACCAGGAAAATGTTGCGTGGAGTGCGTGCGTGTCGCGCGCGGTTGCGTTATCGTCACGATTTTTGAAATGCCCTATATGTCGTTTAGGGCGCCGCCTGCGTCTCAGTCATTCGCGGTTAAGTCCCGCCGGTGAAAAAGTTGTGTCCCGATGGAATGACTGCGAGATTCAAGTAAAATGCTTCGCGAGGAAACCGGGACTCCTGCATTTCATCTGGGATAATACTGCGCGACACGCGCTTTTGTCTCGAAATGTTTTCTACTGAGAGAACCGGGAGCTCCTGCGGTCCGATAATGTCGCGATCCAATCACCGGCGACTCCCGCTCATATAAAAGATCAATTAGGGCCACCGTACAGCAGCTTCGGAAACCAAGTCCGAATTCAGGGTTGGATAACGGCAAGATCCTATTGGGGGTTGTCCGTTAGACAACATATTGATAGTGTTTTTGCCTGTAAGATTGGAAACACGTCCAAAGTTGTGGAAATTGAGGGTAGTCTGACCATGCGTCGTATTTCACGCGAGCATCCTTTACGCTCAGACACTGGGAGCGCGCCCCGAAATCGCGACTCCCGATAATCTTCCGCTTCAAATTTTCTGTCGGGATAGTCCCGAAAGTCGGGACAAAACCGGGTGTCGCGCAAGAGTCCCGATTTTTTTTGCGATTTCTCATTTTGTGGGCGGATCTCCTGCGGGACTTAACCGCAAATGTCTGAGGTAGTTGACTGATTCGGGCTTGTGTTCAGACGTGCTAGTTTTGTCCGCACAACACGTCTCGGGGCTTTAGTGTGGCGGTTGCCAGTACAGAAGAGAGTTTAGGATTAACACAGTCTGAATGCCTGGGTATCTCGCGGATAGTAATTCCCTAAGGAAAAGTGCCCAAAAGTTGTTTCGCCGCTAAAGCTTGAAAATTCCAAAATTAGAACCTGTGGCCGTATTTATCAACGAACCCTGAGGGTTAAACTAACCCTGGGGGGTTAGTCTAGCCTTGGAAAGCGATTAACCCGTATTCATGAAACAGAGGGTACGCTTAACCCTTAGGGTTAAATCTACCCTTGAGAGTAAACCTTACCCCCTAAAATATTACTCAGGTACCATCCTATCCGATCTTTTTCCGCTTTATCAGTCCTCAGAAGGTCTTGTCATACTGCTATGATAAAGAATGATGATGTAATCTTGCGCAACGGTTCTTTTTCTAGACCATATTTGTAGGATGGGCAGGATAGGAGACAGCAACCAGACGTAAGAAACGCACTTGTACTTCCTCGAATTGGTTGACTCCCTTTTGCGAAGCTAAGAATTCGAAAAATTTCAGTTAGGTGCATAAAAAACTGTAGCGCTGATCATCGGCATGACTCTTCATCGCAAAACTATGGCGAGGGCTGAGGGCTAAGTGCGCGGAAAAAAAACGAAGAAAAGAAACGAGATAGACGAGAGAACTCCAGGTCCGCGTCTCAATTGAGGCTTGGCAAAATGTCCGGACCATGAGTAGCAGACGCAGGGCAGGGTTCGGGCGAGACGGTTGGGTGGGACCAGAGCTGCGCAACACTGTAATCGAGAAGCCTGTACACGCCTGTACAAAAAGCAAAAAGAAAACATTTCGAGTTGATTAGAGGCTCTGTCATTGGGTAGGGTACCATTTTAGTGCTCAGAATCTCGAAAACCTCCTAGGCCAACCAAATTTGTGGCCTCAACAATCTGGCGATGCATTTTGCGCCACATAGTTCAAGGGCGCATGTGATTGGAGCACGATATTTATCAACGCATAGATTTACACTACTTTTGGTTAAAAAAAGAGTAGAGGCAATAATATGACCCGCTCTCTTCACTATATGATGGATTTTTGACCGTTCTAATCGTCCAAATCAAAAAGGGTCAAAACTTATGTGAACTGTCCGATATTCATGCTCCGAACCAACCCAATTGGTTTGGTGTGGTCTGGAAACCAACAAATTCGGAGTATACTAGGACACATAAGTTTTTGAAACTTTTTATGTAACATAGTTTGGAGTAATATTGTATACACATAGCCCAAATTCGGAGCGATGTGATCGTTTCTGCACCATAAACAAGCCATTTGTTTGTTTGAGCCTTGGGTTTGAAATTCGCGCGCTTGCAAAAGAACACGTTCAAATCGTAAAACCTGACGTGTTCGTTTTTTTATCGGCGCTTTCCCCAGGACCTTATAAAAACGATATCCCCGTTGCCTCTAACTTCAAAACGAAGTCCAGTTTGACCCCAGACCATCTGTGCCGAGCCCTGACCGGAGCTGCTGATGCATCCGACATTGCAGTTGAGAAGCCCTGGCGTAGATGACCATATGTCCCCGAAAAGGGCGGCGCGGACATCTGCAACAGGCCACGTAACTTCACACATTACAAAAAAAAAATGGCTCTATTCCAGTATACGCAACTCAAAAATGAAAGATCTTGGATTTCGCTAAAACTTTCACAGGGGTTATATGGCATGCTGATCACGAAAATGATAGTCATCTCGCATGGTAGGGCCTCATACGAAATGAATATCATTTGAGGGGATACGGTAGGCATAATTACTGTATGGGATGAAAACCTCTGATCTTGCTGAAACTCTGCACAGAGGGGTTATTCGACATGCTGGTTGCGGTTGTCACACTTTTTCCACACGAAAACGTCTTCCTTTATGGTTAAGGTGATGTGCGGTAGGGGTTCAGTGTTCTAGATTTCGCTGGAATCTGGTCTAGAGTGGTCATTTAAAGGCAGTGTCCGGGCAAAAACTCGATTTTGAGATTTTGTGCTTACCCAGGCCTATTCGTTATGCTGAATCCGAAAATCCACATTGGAAAGCGCGAAAACGACGGAAAAGGACTCTAACACTAGAGGGAATTCAGCAAGTGGGCGGGGTCTTCCCCACTGTGAATTCACGCTCCCAGCTTCGGGGGCGATCTTTTTGATTCCGGTTTCAAGTCATTCGTTTGCACTTGATCGGTAGTGATGTCAGAGCGGCTAACGAATTCGAGAAAATTGCTCTGGAAGCTGGAAGCGTGAATTCGCAGTGGGGAAGACCCCGCCCACTCGCTTATTTCCCTCCAGTGTTAGAGCCCTTTTTCGTCGATTTCGCACTTTCCAATGTGCATTTTCGGATTCAGCATAGCGAATAGGCCCGGGTAAGCACAAAATCTCAAAATCGAGTTCTTGCCCGGACACTGCCTTTAACGCGCTGAACATATATGATACTTGATATGTATATCATATCAAATTAGCAAGGTATGCCATTTTCTTGGGTTACCATGGGCATGTTTTATTTGGGTCAAACTCCCAAATGTGCTCAAAACTTGGCTCAAAGGGATTTTCAAGCATGCTTACTCGCTTCAGTCGCCTTATTGAGGAGTTATAGTGAACTACAATTTATAGGTAAGCATCATTCCCCCTTCCCAGGAATTTAGATCCCAAAAATCCACGAAAAGGCTTTATCGTGCAAAGTGAGCACGATATTCGAGATCAGCATGTCGGATCTGCACAAAGTTTCAGGCAGATCTGCGATTTTGTTCTCTTACCCTATAGCCACCGTAGCGATATGTGATCAGTATGTTGATTAACCGCTCTAGATCAGATTCCAGCGAAATTTAGAACTTTGTACACCTACCGTAACCATACAGGGGGAAATTTTTGTGCGGAAAAAGTGTTCCATTTGTAATCAGCATGTCGAATAACCCCTCTGTGCAGAGTGCCAGATAACCCGTATGTACAAAGTTTTAGCGAAATCCGAGATTTTCATAATTGGGTTGCGTATTCTGGAATAGTACCAAAAAATCTAATCGGCGACATACGGTATGGCCCCTACTCGAAAGATCTAGCCCCGGACGACGGCGTTATCCCGGGCGCATAATGCGCAGGATTTGCAAGAAAGTAACAGCTCGCTTGCTGTGTCGCCACCGCTTGAATAAAGTTGCTACTGCGCTTTCGTTCGGCAGTAAAATTGACCAGTACGAATTGCCATCATACGAGCCATGTTCTTGAAACTTCCAGCCAAGCATCGCGTGGGCCAGTTCGTGATGTCGATGATTACAGTCGAGTCATCATGAGGTCATGTCTCTTACCAATTTGAACATTATGCAGCAGACCCAAGTAGTATTCAAAAATGTATTTGACGGAAAATAGCTCAACAATGCAAAAATATCATTTTTTCGTTTTTTTATTATGAAACTGGGTATTTCTTTTTACCAGTGTACATACAGAGGTAAAATGTTAACTTTATGCTTGCTGAGGCTTGCAATATACAATGACATATGTGAGAGGAGCTGGGGGCGGAGTTTGCCATTTTTGAACCCATCTTTTTTCCATGCTCGTCAAAAATCCAATTAAGGCACAGTTGTGTACTATTATGTGTCTATTGTATGGTGACCAAGTTGGACGCATAATTCGACAAAATTTTTTCGATTTTGGCTCACTTCACCTAAATCGCGACTTAGGCTGATGTTTGGAGGACATTTTGCAGGGCTTGTTTCGCTCTATCGAATGATACCCTAAGTCTGCTAGGAAAACAAAAAATAGCCTGATTCATTCAGAAAAGGAGTTTACTTTTGGGCAACCTAATAGAAAGGCAGGAAGGCATAAAGGACGCCACAAACACTCTTTTTGCTGATTGTTTGTGGCGTTGTCATGTAATCATATGATCATGTGACAACGCCACAAACGGCTTCAAAGGCCAGGATGAGGATGGCACAGAATTGTACAGTCTAACAGTCTGTGTCAAATCGTATTCATTTCAAATACCGTATGCCGAAGTTGGCCCCCCTGCACTGCAGCGTCACCAGTCCACGCGGCACGGCTAAGCGCCAGATCGATAAGACAGACTGTAGGCAGTAACACATACATGATTATATGATGACTAGGCTGTACGCAGTGTGTGTGTGCCACTTACGTACCTTTCGCGTGGAACTACGCATGTGCAACGTGACGACTTGCGTGCGGACCTCTAATTGATAAGGCTAATTTGAATGCCCAAGCCGTTCGTGCGTGAACGTGGCCTGAAGCTCTGGCGTGGCGATGGCGCTTGAAGAAAAGGGATTGCGTGATTGAAACAGATTGCATCAAGCCATCAGTGGCTGTCCCAAAATTTCCGTTTGGTGGGGGGGGGGGGGGAGGGGGGTGGGGAACTCGACGATTTTTTCTTGGGTGCAGGTGCGTGGCATTAGCAAGCCCCTGAAAAATTTTTTCATGAAGCTAAATCGAACTTCTAAAGGTTATAATTATTTCAGTTGTTTAGAAATATAAGGAAGTCATCTGCATTTTTTATAACTCACGTAAGTAGCTTTTAAAAAATTTCGCGACCCATTCTTGCTTCCCGCTCCCACCTCAGTCCCCCATTGCTATCCATTGAATGCTACCTTGTTAATGTCAATAGCTAGTTTATCGAATTTGGTCATGATTTGAATTTCGGGTTTCTGTGAGTTCCCGTCCTATGCAAGTGTTTCAGAATGCCTGGAGATTATCCCACCCCCAAGGAGTATGCAAAAGCTCAAAAAGAACTAGGAAGCTGTTTACCAGAATTTCGCCAAACAGTAAAACGGGCAGTACTTTTTGGTGCTTCTGTAGGACTTCCGCTAGGCTTGTACATAGGCTTCAAGTAAGTTAGTAGTTGGCGAAATCGGAAATGAAATAACATCTATTTTCCAGACATCATGGTCGAGACTTGCGAGCATTTGCTGGCAAATCATCAGCTACTTGGTTAGCAGTAACCTTAACAATGGGAGCTATGGGCGTCATGACAGGAACGTATAACTGTTTGCGAATACGGATGTAGTACGTGCTTGAGTTTTCTGTGCTCGCATGTTGCCTTTTCTGCTAGCTTGTGTAGTTCTTGTTCACTCTGTGTAGAATAACAGTTATCGATGAAGATGAATTATGAGAAACTCCAGCGATAAAAGCTATCACCTATTCTGAGGTTAGGAGACAATGCATTCAAAGCTCTCAAGTCTCCTAACCTCAGAATGTGCGAAATTTCTATCAAACACTCACAAAAATGCTTTTTTCTTTCTAACCGTAATTTGACGTTTGGTCGCCTTGTGAAGTGCGATTCATGGTAGTTCGTATCCACCGGAATGGTAGTTATTTTACTTTGAATACTCGAAGTCATTTTGAATTAATCGGGAATATATTCCAAAGTCGAAAATATCGAATAATCGAATTTCGATTATTTTCGAGAATAGAAAAAAGTCGAATTTTCAAAAATCGAATGTTCCTCAAAATCAGGGATGTCGTATAATTGAAAACCGAACATTTTTGAAAATGAATGATGTCAATTGATGAAATATCGAATATTTCTAAATTAAAGAAATTTTGAATATTCGAGTATATTCGAGAAGAAGAAGTATGAAATAAAAAGAATATCTTGTATCAACTTTGTGGAATAATTAAACAAAAACGTGATCGATGGCAGTGGTAATTGTTAAGTGAACTGACTGGCAGACTCTGTTTTTGCTATCCCCGTATCCGTCCACATATCACAGTAGAACTCACAGTTCTAACCCACATACGCCAGGCGAACGCAGTTGAGGCAGCATGCTTATTTACGCGTACAGCAACATCTACTTGTCAAACTTTGGAAAAAAATTAACACTTGTACGAACAGTCGTGATTTATAACGTTTATTTATTCTTGTTCATTCTTATTCCTAAGCGGCATGCTCGCTCGAACCTATGCACAAACTCTCGGCTCTTCAGCTTTGAGTTCAATCAACCTTGCATCGTTTTTAAGCATTTGTTGTGCTCAGGCCTCATTTTCATGCTACGCTCTGTAGTTCACCAAAAGCATAACATTTTGCGAGGAATTTTCAAGACAAGGAAGGCAAATTGAGAGGCGTGCAAGATCGATTTAAGGTCTGACATACTTTCGTACTTATGGATTTTCTTCCAAGTGAATAGTCCTTCATGATAACTCTGAAAAATCCAATGTAACGAAACTCTTTGATGCTACAAAAGCCAGTAATACAATTATTCGATTACACGAAAAATCAAATAACTGTCGAAAGTAAATATTCGAGTTCGAATTTATTTGTAAATGAAAAGTTTCGAATAGAATAATCAAATGAATTTGAAAATGATAAAATATGATCAATCGAGTGTCGATATGCGCGATTTGTGACTTTCCGAGTAATCGAAATTCGATTAACTTATATCCGAATACTTCATTCGAATATTCGAATATTTATTCAATTCGGTGCAAAGTGTAGTAGTTGTTATCCTCTGTATCACTGAGACTAATCGGTGTCCTCCTGCTTGGGTTCTGCGCGACCGCCTCGCTTGGGCTTCACTCTTTCGTGAGTGTGCTTCCTGATCATCAAACACACATGAGTGCGGAAAGGGCGGAGCTTCTAGCGCTGATCACTGGGAAATGATAAGAAATTACGCTCGCGAAAGAGTTGCAAAGCTTAAGCAAGCGAGGCAGTCGCGCGGGACCGGAGACCCTCATCAATCCTAATGAAATGGAGGGTAAGTACTTAAGAACAGAATCCCCAAAGGTGTTATGGTGTTGGCCACAGAAATCCGTTCACTTTACTCGTTGGATAAGGTAGATAAAGTAGAAAGGTGAGCGGAGATATACTTGGTTGTTCACTGTCTCTGTCTCAGCTATCATGTTGAGAGTTAAAGACAGCACACAAGACTCGACAACTTGACAATTGTCCATTGGTTGTGTTCGGTGTACCCTCCCCTCCCCCCCCCTCTCCCCTACTACACAGTTCGATGTTTAATGTTTATTGAATTGGGATTTTGTATACTGTACACACAAGTACTACATGATCCCGCTTTTGAGCTGGTCCAATACCTCCCACAGGCTTTGGCCGCTTACAACAAGCTTTCCACTTGCCAGGTTCGGAGTGCACTGGTGTGTACATGTTTGTTTTCGGGCTCAGACAAGGATATTGTTTCTAATAGAAAAGAACTTAGCCGTTTCATGGAGCACCTTTCTGGCTGCTACCAAGCAAATGACCACTTTGCAACTGAAGCATAAGGGTATGTCAAAGAATGCGATCGTAGTTATTACTGGATGACAACACAGACTGCAAGTACAAGTGTCAGTGGAAAGTGAGGGCTGCTGTGAACCATTCGACAAAGCCTAATTTGAGCGTTAGGTATGTTAGATCTTTGTCAACATCATACCAGCTTTCGCTGATTATGTTTAAGTACATCTTGACACGGAAATTTGTATGATTTACTCTCTACCTATCGTCATTAGCTGGCACTCAGTTGCCCAGTTCTGTCGTCAGCTCTTCCGTACTCCATGTAACCTTTCTTTTTACACTCTTTTTTTCCTTGCTTGTGAATTCCTTATATTTGTCTCAACTCTATTGCTCGCGATATATTAGAGATCATTGAACCATTTCATTTGTGAAAATTTCTACAATATTACGTCCTGTCTAGGTAGTTTCTATTAGTAGGGTCCTATCCACATACGAACTGCTTGTTGACGATTTTCTTTACATAAGGAGCGCAGCATGTTGTCCTAGGGAATACGCATACCGCTGGTGCGCATGGCTGGTTCATTTTGAAGGCTCCTCTGAATTAACTTGTTCTATGAAGAAGAGCTGTGCAAACCTCCTGTACTCACGTGCATTGACAGCCGGATGGCCAGCAGTATCGATACGACGGTATTACACCACACATTCCACACGTATCGTTACATTTGGCGCTCGGTTCCGTCATCCAATCCGTCCATGTTCCCGGACATTGTGCTGGCTGTAGGTAATTTTTATGTGTCAAAGCAATCAACGTAAAACTGTGTATACCGGATTAGGCTGGCAGAATTTAGCTCCATCGTAACCTAGAGCAGGGTATCCTGAGCAGCATTCCTGACCAGTAATGCATGCTGCTTGTCCACACTTCTTTGACTCAGTGGTCTCTCCTCTAAAAAAAGAAAACCATTGTGATGCTGAGGTTTTGTTTTACCGAGGGTTTGCTTACGTGCACGGACAACCATACGGTTGCGATGCGCATGTACGATTACGGGTTTGTGTTCCACAGAGTCCACAATCGGATGTACATTTTGACCATTCGGTCCATTGGTTCCAGAGACCGGTTTTTTCTGAAGCGGCAGTGGATTTAGCTCAGTGTTGTGAAGGAACAAAGCACGTACCGGGATCACAGCACGTGGTCTGTTCTGGGTTAAACACAGGCTCAACTGGTAGGGGACCGCAATAAAAGCTTTTTGTTACGGTGTCAACCTTCTTTGTGAAACCAGCACAACAGGTCGATCTCGGGAAAAGACAAACGGTTGTCCCGCAAACTTGATTTTCTACTGCGTCTCCGCTGGAAATCGGAAATTGCAAGAGGCTTCCTAACCAAATATCCTTACCTGCAAGCACACCCGTATTGTAGAGAAAGACACTTGCGAGATCTGACTTGTCTTCCACAAGACCCACAAGTATCATTACACGGAACGGTGATGCTCCATTCACCCCAAATCCCTAAATTACCCATTCAAACGGAGGGACCTGAGAGCACAAGTTCAGTGACTACCTCTGGTTGGACAACAGTTAACTCCACATGTATTCACGTAGGGCGGATTTACTGGAAGAACAGGCTGAAAAACATATGTATTTTATAAGTTTCATGTTATTTTGTGGGCTGGACTCATTATCCCACCTGCGGCCCACAGGCGTGTTTTCCATTGACTATAGTTGATTCATAACCTGGACAACACGATAGCCGTGGATAATAACAGACCTCGATATTACAAGGTGCCGTGACCGTGCTTGCTCCACTGTAATTGTAATCCATTTTTGAGCTTAATATTGCTTCAACGTACTTGCAAGGACATCCACTAGCTTCTGATAGACAGGTCCTTGTTTTTGTAATGTTTCCACATGAACCACAGAAATCAGAGCATTGGTTAGGAGATTCAGTCCATTCCGACCATATTCCATTATCCGGACAGCATGTACTATCGCAGAAAGGGTCGTAGGGCGCCAAGGGTGTGGTGTAGTTTGGCTGTTTTGAATAATTTTTGCAAATGTTTATTGACGATCACAAAATGATCACAACTTCATTTACCTGTGGCCCACATGCATGTTTGCCATCTATGACAGTGGAAGAGTAAGGTGAACAACAGGAGTCGCGCGGGTAGTAGCACACACCAATGTTGCAGTTCTTCTGTCGTGACGACGGTCCCCTGGATATGGCTGGGCTCAATTTGCTACGCCATACTCCTTGGGCATTACCTGCATGCACATCCCTGAGCCTCTGTGAGACAAGTGCGTTGCTGTGTGACCTGTGCGCACGAGCCACATGTATCTGGACAAGCTCCTCCTTCTGTCCACTCCGACCAGTAACCTCCGGAAGATGGACAGCAAGTCCAGCAGAGGTCTGATGGCGGAGGACTAGTGTCGTCCTTGAAGTGTTAATTTTATCAGTAACTATCGGTTGCAACTTGTGCTTCTCACCATTCTGGAGCACTGAAACGTTTTCTGTACGGATAGTTGTTTTGTACGATTTCCGCAGCACGATGCCCGAGGGAACTGACATGGCGTTGGCGCACATTCTGAGGTCTTCGTGCTAGGGCCCCTTGAAATAAATAATTGTGCTCCGTCCATTTGCAGCTGTTCTTGAACGTACGAGCATGGACATCCGAATTGTTCGGATATGCAGCCTCGAGTTCGAGTTGTAGTTCCGCAGAATCCGCATTCATCAGAGCATGTGTTACCGCTAGACCACTCACTCCACACACCTCCGATTACACAACAGCTTCCGTTTTCGCACTTAGGAAGCTCCGGCAGCTCAGGTTCAGTACCCTGAAAAGACTTGAGTAACTTAGGCACAAATTGTAAGATGTGTACCAAAGGTCCGCAAATCTTTATTCCGTTCTGTTCGATCTCACTGAACCCTGTGCAGCACGGTGACGTGGAATTTGTACATGGCGCTGTGTTACAAACGGTGTTCATCTCGTCCAAACCACTGTCAATATCAAAATCTATTCATGTTATTTTCCATAACTCTTGAAATATTGCCAAAGGCGTGCGTCTTTGACACCATTTCCCTGGCTTCCTTTTCCTTTTCACTAATCGCGAAAAAACTTACGTGCAAATGCATCCGTTTTCACCATTACATTTTCTTGTTTTTCTCTGGAAATTGCATGATCCGCACGAGGTCGCATCGCAGGGGACTACCACCTAAAATGCACATCATCATCACATCAACCATCGGCATCATTGTGGAGACGATATGTCTCCCACCGTCCATTCGCTCCACGTTGCCATCACGACACAACTTTGTGTCTCCGTATCATTCCCTAAGCAGGAACAACCGTATGAAGCTGATGCACAAGCTCTAGTTCGTGTTGCAGTTCCGCACTAGAAGTGTTCATATAAATCCCACATCATCCAGCTGGCTTGTACATCGACACCTTCAAATAAAAGCTACCTTGAAGCAGCCAGCGCCACTACAACTGCTCCATTCTCCCCAATCTGCCCAGAAGCCGTTTGTTGGGCAGCATGACGTATCAACAGGCGCTTCTGTTGTATTTGGCTGAAGTTATGATATGTGTTCGCGAGTTAGTTCGTTTGCAAAGTGATCACAAACCTGAGGCCCGCAAGCATGTCGCCCATTGATAACGGTAGAAGAGTATGGGGAGCAACAAGAATTTCTAGGATAGTAGCAGACACCAATATTGCAGTTCTCAACTTTGACATCACTTCCACTAAAATGTATTGGTTAAAGGCAGCGTCCCGGCAAAAAGATGGGTGCCGGATTTTGTGACGATGTTGAAGTAGACCCCCTACCTAAGCAACGACTGAAGTTTGGAGCGAAAGAGGGGGTCTACCAAGCCTGAAATTTGCTCCGAAAGTGGCCCGAATCTTACGGTAGGCCCGGATGCCGCCCACATAGCTATATCGGTTTGCAAGGCGTATAGCGCACACAGTCATTAGCGCAAGGTCCCGCAACACTCTGCGTCTCAACCTTGCATGCATCTCATACTCGCCCGAGCCTACCGTAAGATTCGGGCCACTTGGGAGGCAATTTGTAGACTTAGACCCCTTTTGGCGCTGCAAACTTCTGTCGTCACTGTTAGGGGGTCTACTACTACATCACTACCAGAGCCAGGTAGCCCCAATCTGGTGCGCTGCCCTTAGGGTGTATATGTTGGGAGTTACAGGAATTCTATATTACAAACAACTCTGTACACAGTCTGCCCAATCCCAATCAGGCCAATGGCATAACGGGAGTCCGCGTCGCTAGGGTTTTGCGTCACGCCTACGCTTTGCTTGCCTTCTCTCTCTTCGATCTCTTCGCTCTCCGACAGTGCGCATATGCAGCGCAAAGTACTTGTTGCCCGCAAATTTAGCAAATGGTGCAGCCTGATCCCGTTTGGGGCAGACTGTACGATATAATCCGAAGTGCATCCATGATAAACACTGAGGACTGGCCTCTATGTATGTATCAGAGGTTCTATGTATGTATCAGAGGTTGCTCAATAACGAATGAAGAAGACTTACGTGCAAGGACAACCATCTGACACCGTCAAACATTTACGTCTGTATATCAGCTGCGCACATGAGCCACAAGTATCTGAACACTTCTGCGAAGTTGCCCATTCACTCCATAACCCACTCGATGGACAACATTGAGATGGACGAGTAGTGGTTGTAGTGCTTGTGGAAGGCACAGTGGTCGTGGTACTCGTCGATGGTACAGTTGTAGTGTTTGTGGAAGGCACAGTGGTTGTGGTACTTGTCGATGGTACTGTTGTAGTGCTTGTCGAAGGCACAGTGGTTGTGGTACTTGTCGATGGTACTGTTGTAGTGCTTGTCGAAGGCACAGTGGTTGTGGTACTCGTCGATGGTACTGTTGTAGTGCTTGTCGAAGGCACAGTGGTTGTGGTACTCGTCGATGGTACTATTGTAGTGCTTGTCGAAGGCACAGTGGTTGTGGTACTCGTCGTTGGTACTGTTGTAGTGCTTGTCGAAGGCACAGTGGTTGTGGTACTCGTCGTTGGTACTGTTGTAGTGCTTGTCGAAGGCACAGTGGTTGTGGTACTCGTCGTTGGTACTGTTGTAGTGCTTGTCGAAGGCACAGTGGTTGTGGTACTCGTCGTTGGTACTGTTTTAGTGCTTGTCGAAGGCACAGTGGTTGTGGTACTCGTCGTTGGTACTGTTGTAGTGCTTGTCGAAGGCACTGTGGTTGTGGTACTCGTCGATGGTATTGTTGTAGTGCTTGTCGAAGGCACAGTGGTTGTGGTACTCGTCGATGGTACTGTTGTAGTGCTTGTCGAAGGCACAGTGGTTGTGGTACTCGTCGATGGTACTGTTGTAGTGCTTGTCGAAGGCACTGTGGTTGTGGTACTCGTCGATGGTACTGTTGTAGTGCTTGTCGAAGGCACAGTGGTTGTGGTACTCGTCGATGGTATTGTTGTAGTGCTTGTCGAAGGCACAGTGGTTGTGGTACTCGTCGATGGTATTGTTGTAGTGCTTGTCGAAGGCACAGTGGTTGTGGTACTCGTCGATGGTACTGTTGTAGTGCTTGTCGAAGGCACTGTGGTTGTGGTACTCGTCGATGGTACTGTTGTAGTGCTTGTCGAAGGCACTGTGGTTGTGGTACTCGTCGATGGTACTATTGTAGTGCTTGTCGAAGGCACTGTGGTTGTGGTACTCGTCGATGGTACTGTTGTAGTGCTTGTCGAAGGCACTGTGGTTGTGGTACTCGTCGTTGGTACTGTTGTAGTGCTTGTCGAAGGCACTGTGGTTGTGGTACTCGTCGTTGGTACTGTTGTAGTGCTTGTCGAAGGCACTGTGGTTGTGGTACTCGTCGTTGGTACTGTTGTAGTGCTTGTCGAAGGCACTGTGGTTGTGGTACTCGTCGTTGGTACTGTTGTAGTGCTTGTCGAAGGCACTGTGGTTGTGGTACTCGTCGTTGGTACTGTTGTAGTGCTTGTCGAAGGCACAGTGGTTGTGGTACTCGTCGTTGGTACTGTTGTAGTGCTTGTCGAAGGCACTGTGGTTGTGGTACTTGTCGTTGGTACTGTTGTAGTGCTTGTCGAAGGCACTGTGGTTGTGGTACTCGTCGATGGTATTGTTGTAGTGCTTGTCGAAGGCACAGTGGTTGTGGTACTCGTCGATGGTACTGTTGTAGTGCTTGTCGAAGGCACAGTGGTTGTGGTACTCGTCGATGGTACTGTTGTAGTGCTTGTCGAAGGCACAGTGGTTGTGGTACTCGTCGATGGTACTGTTGTAGTGCTTGTCGAAGGCACAGTGGTTGTGGTACTCGTCGATGGTATTGTTGTAGTGCTTGTCGAAGGCACAGTGGTTGTGGTACTCGTCGATGGTATTGTTGTAGTGCTTGTCGAAGGCACAGTGGTTGTGGTACTCGTCGATGGTATTGTTGTAGTGCTTGTCGAAGGCACAGTGGTTGTGGTACTCGTCGATGGTATTGTTGTAGTGCTTGTCGAAGGCACAGTGGTTGTGGTACTCGTCGATGGTATTGTTGTAGTGCTTGTCGAAGGCACAGTGGTTGTGGTACTCGTCGATGGTACTGTTGTAGTGCTTGTCGAAGGCACAGTGGTTGTGGTACTCGTCGATGGTACTGTTGTAGTGCTTGTCGAAGGCACAGTGGTTGTGGTACTCGTCGATGGTACTGTTGTAGTGCTTGTCGAAGGCACAGTGGTTGTGGTACTCGTCGATGGTACTGTTGTAGTGCTTGTCGAAGGCACAGTGGTTGTGGTACTCGTCGATGGTACTGTTGTAGTGCTTGTCGAAGGCACTGTGGTTGTGGTACTCGTCGATGGTACTGTTGTAGTGCTTGTCGAAGGCACAGTGGTTGTGGTACTCGTCGATGGTACTGTTGTAGTGCTTGTCGAAGGCACAGTGGTTGTGGTACTCGTCGATGGTACTGTTGTAGTGCTTGTCGAAGGCACTGTGGTTGTGGTACTCGTCGATGGTACTGTTGTAGTGCTTGTCGAAGGCACAGTGGTTGTGGTACTCGTCGATGGTACTGTTGTAGTGCTTGTCGAAGGCACTGTGGTTGTGGTACTCGTCGATGGTACTGTTGTAGTGCTTGTCGAAGGCACAGTGGTTGTGGTACTCGTCGTTGGTACTGTTGTAGTGCTTGTCGAAGGCACTGTGGTTGTGGTACTCGTCGTTGGTACTGTTGTAGTGCTTGTCGAAGGCACAGTGGTTGTGGTACTCGTCGATGGTACTGTTGTAGTGCTTGTCGAAGGCACAGTGGTTGTGGTACTCGTCGATGGTACTGTTGTAGTGCTTGTCGAAGGCACAGTGGTTGTGGTACTCGTCGATGGTATTGTTGTAGTGCTTGTCGAAGGCACTGTGGTTGTGGTACTCGTCGATGGTATTGTTGTAGTGCTTGTCGAAGGCACTGTGGTTGTGGTACTCGTCGATGGTATTGTTGTAGTGCTTGTCGAAGGCACTGTGGTTGTGGTACTCGTCGATGGTATTGTTGTAGTGCTTGTCGAAGGCACTGTGGTTGTGGTACTCGTCGATGGTACTGTTGTAGTGCTTGTCGAAGGCACTGTGGTTGTGGTACTCGTCGATGGTACTGTTGTAGTGCTTGTCGAAGGCACAGTGGTTGTGGTACTCGTCGTTGGTACTGTTGTAGTGCTTGTCGAAGGCACAGTGGTTGTGGTACTCGTCGTTGGTACTGTTGTAGTGCTTGTCGAAGGCACAGTGGTTGTGGTACTCGTCGATGGTACTGTTGTAGTGCTTGTCGAAGGCACAGTGGTTGTGGTACTCGTCGATGGTATTGTTGTAGTGCTTGTCGAAGGCACTGTGGTTGTGGTACTCGTCGATGGTACTGTTGTAGTGCTTGTCGAAGGCACAGTGGTTGTGGTACTCGTCGATGGTACTGTTGTAGTGCTTGTCGAAGGCACTGTGGTTGTGGTACTCGTCGATGGTACTGTTGTAGTGCTTGTCGAAGGCACTGTGGTTGTGGTACTCGTCGATGGTATTGTTGTAGTGCTTGTCGAAGGCACTGTGGTTGTGGTACTCGTCGATGGTATTGTTGTAGTGCTTGTCGAAGGCACTGTGGTTGTGGTACTCGTCGATGGTATTGTTGTAGTGCTTGTCGAAGGCACTGTGGTTGTGGTACTCGTCGATGGTACTGTTGTAGTGCTTGTCGAAGGCACTGTGGTTGTGGTACTCGTCGATGGTACTGTTGTAGTGCTTGTCGAAGGCACTGTGGTTGTGGTACTCGTCGATGGTACTGTTGTAGTGCTTGTCGAAGGCACTGTGGTTGTGGTACTCGTCGATGGTACTGTTGTAGTGCTTGTCGAAGGCACAGTGGTTGTGGTACTCGTCGTTGGTACTGTTGTAGTGCTTGTCGAAGGCACAGTGGTTGTGGTACTCGTCGTTGGTACTGTTGTAGTGCTTGTCGAAGGCACAGTGGTTGTGGTACTCGTCGTTGGTACTGTTGTAGTGCTTGTCGAAGGCACAGTGGTTGTGGTACTCGTCGATGGTATTGTTGTAGTGCTTGTCGAAGGCACTGTGGTTGTGGTACTCGTCGATGGTACTGTTGTAGTGCTTGTCGAAGGCACAGTGGTTGTGGTACTCGTCGATGGTACTGTTGTAGTGCTTGTCGAAGGCACAGTGGTTGTGGTACTCGTCGATGGTACTGTTGTAGTGCTTGTCGAAGGCACAGTGGTTGTGGTACTCGTCGATGGTACTGTTGTAGTGCTTGTCGAAGG